AATGTTTATATCTTTAAAAAATGATAAAATTCGTATTTTTAAATAAAAGTAAAATTTTAATGCATAATTTATAAATTCAAAAAGTTTATATCTAAAAAAAGTAGTAAATTTTGCATTCTAATCTGAATTTAACAAACTCCTAAAATTGGGATAATTAATACTAGGCCAATTTCAATCTGTTTAGTTCTACATGTTCATATATAAATACCATATATTCATATCAACCACCTATTGGTCAGAGTGAAAAGAATTTATTTTTTTAAAAATAAAATCTCGAGTTCGACTTTTATAAATGAAAAAACAAACGCTGGGAGAGCTTCCCTCATATAGAATTCAACCTGACTCGACTCTGTATTAACTAAGGTCCAATGTAACTTTTAGATACCAATGATTGGTTTAAAAAAAAAAAACCATATATTCATATAGAAATTTTTTCCTAGTGCCATCTATATTCATACAAAGATGGTTTTCGTACTTTTTCATAAAAGATGCATGTAATACATGATTTTTGTGATTTTATAAATGGCTTAATTACATGATTTTAGAATTAAGGTTGGTGGATGTTGCATGATTCCAAAACATATATATACGTTAGCTTATACTCCATAGAAGTTTTTCATATTCTTTTCACTAATGAATTTAAAAACATTACGTGGTATACATGATTGAGGAAGTTTTACATTTACATAAAAATAAATGAGTTGAAATGATTTTTATGAAATTTTGGAGGAAATTAAAATAATATAAAATAAAGAAGAAAATTTCTTTGTTGCTAAGTGAGAAAAACTCCCTACAAATTTAAGGAAGCAAGTTTTTTAGTCAAGTTTAATTATTTCACTATTTTATGGATTTTGGGGAATATAGCCATTTGTTATCCTAAACATAACCAAATGAAAAGAGAAATATGGAAAGCCATTGTTATTCTCGTGTTATTCACGAGAGAAATGATCAAATCCTCCATGTCATTAAATTGGTGGAAAATTGCCTATTTTGGGCTTAATATAGTTGAGGCATTATCACCTTATTTTTCACCTTAAAAAAGGAAGTTGAAAGTTAGTAGAATTTGATATGATTATTGTTAAATAATACAGAAAAAATATTTATTTTTAATTATCTACCATGTGAGACGAATCAAAAGTTAAGAATTTGCTGTGAAAAATACTGTTACTATCACAAAAAAATTCTGAAGATATGAAAGGGTGCACTTTGGCTTTTACTTTAGGACTTTTTTTTTTCTTCTTTTGTTCTTCTTTTTCTTATACGCAGTGTTTGTTTGGGGTGACCGTCTTACTATGTGACACCATAAAATATTAATGTTGCATTAAATGTAGTCTTATGTCTTTTTACTCTATTCTCATAAAAAAATGTTCTTTAATTTAACTCTTTTATTAATGAGGAGATATAAAGTTATGCTACAAAAAGAGTAAAAGTATATCTGGTTTAGTTGATTGTACCGGTTTATAACTTTTTTTAATTAAATTGTTGATTAAGGTGGTTAAGAACATTTTTGGATTGAAGGAAATGAAGGATAGCATAGAGAAAGATTTTTTTATTTTTAAAATGTTATAGTTTGATTGATCAAAAAATGTTTTCTTTCTCTATTTTTCATTTCTCTCAACTCAAATATATTATAAAATATAAATTGATTTTAAACTAATATCAACAATTTTATCAATTATCAACTAAAAATTACAATAATTAATTGTTCTTCTCCAACTAAACTAATATCAATATTTTTTGTCTTTTTTATTATTACTCTTCTTTTTTTTTTGGATCGAATAATAACGAATAACTGTTTCTATATTTTAGTCCATCTAATTATATGCATGACTTTAATTCAGAATCTTACTTTCGCTTAATGGATTACCACTAATATGTATTTTGATGCTTCATGGTTTTGTACTGTTGAGAAGCTTAAAAATAATTCAGACTTGAGAGGAAAATTTGTATGGTAAATTAAATGCAATTGAAATTTCAAGAGAATTGTAATTAGTTACCCATTATTTAGTTGTGCTTTTTTTTTAAATGTACTACCAACAAACGTCAAACGAGTCGAAGTGACTATAATAATATGAATTTTGTTATAATTTTATTTAAAAATATAAATTTTTAAAAATTTTAAATTAAGTATTAAATTTTTATTTTTTTAAAATAAAAATAAAAATTTTATGTTTTTTTATGTAAAGGTTTATTCCATGTCTATAACGACGTGATAAATAGTAATTTTAATCAAAATGTTGTAATGTGCATATATTAAAAAAAAATAAAATTTATATCTTTAAATAAAAAATTAAAATTTTACCACATAATTTATAAATTTAAAAGTTTATATCTTTGCAATTCCCATGTGGTCCAATGGTGGCCACGTTGCCCATTAAACAGCATGTGAAATGCACCCAGTTCCAAAGTTCGACCATCTTACAAAACAACAAATATTAACACTAATTTAACCATTTTTTTTTGTAAAAAAAAAAAAGTTTATATCTTTGCAATCCCCATGTGGTCCAATGGTGGCCACGTTGTCCATTAAACAGCATGTGAAATGCACCCAGCTCCAAAGTTCGACCATCTTACAAAGCAACAAATATTAACACTAATCTAACAATTTTTTTTTGTAAAAAAAAAAAGTTTATATCTTTAAAAAGTAGTAAATTTTGTATTTTTATCTGAATATTTTTTTACTAACAAACTCTTAAGATTCAGGTAATACTAGGCCAATTTCAATTTATTCAGTTGTACATGTTCATAAATTCGATATATTCATACTGAGATTTTTTCTTGGGGCCATCTATATTCAGACATAGATGGTTTTCATACTTTTCATAAGAGATGCATTTAATACATGATTTGTGTGATTTTGTAAATGACTTAATTACATGATTTTAGAATTAATGTTGGTGGATGTTGCATGATTCCAAACATATATATATATATATTAGCTTATAAATATACTCCCTAGAAGTTTTTCACAATCTTTTCACTAATGAATTTAGTGAATTGTGTGGTATATGTGATGAAGGAAGTTTTACATTTACACAAAAATAAATAAGAAAATATTAAAAAGATTTTTATGAAATTTTGGAGGAAATTAAAATAATATAAAATAAAGAAGAAAATTGTTTTATTGCGTAGTGGGAAAAACTCCCTACAAGTTTATGGAAGCTAGTTTTTTAGTCATGTTTAACTATTTCACAACTTTGTGAATTCTGGGGAATGTAGTTATTTGTTATCCTGATCATAACCAAATCGAAAGAGAAATATGGTAAGCTGTTGTTGTTTTCGTGTTCTCCCGGAGAGAAATACTAATAACATCCATGTCTGTAAATTGATATAAAATTGTCTATTTTGGGTTGAATGATTGAGATATTACTTTTTTTTTCACCAAAAAAAGAAGTTGAAAGTTAGTAGAATTTGATATTATTATTGTTAAATAAAAAGCAAAAATATACATTTTTAATTTTCTACCATCTGAGACGAATCAAAGGTAAAGGATTTGCTGTGAAAATACTGTTACGATCACAAGAAAATTCTGAAGCTATGAAAGGGTGCAGTTCGGCTTTTACTTTAGGACTTTTTTTTTTTTTTTTTTTTT